AGTCAGAAGTCTTTCTGGCCCACTGTAGATTGAGAGACCTAGGAGAATTTCTTGCTCATGACTGGATGGTTCAGATGGAGATTTTGGATAAATCACCTCTCTAAAGAAGAATGGCACTTTAAACACTGTGTTCAGCAGAGAACATGAGATGGGATAAGATCACTTCAATTCACCTCTTGGCCCCAGTTCACCTAGAAAAATTTTCCAGGGCTTCCTACTGTGTTGGAAGAATTCCCAAATGCCATGTTAGGGCAACTCAGCATCTCCTCTATGCCACTACTGCAGTACAAAGGGGACAGGGGGAGCAGACAGAATCTGATCCTAATTTATCCTCACAACACCTTAACAAGGCAGGAAGTTTTATCATGTCTGTCTCCACTTCCCCCGGGGAATGCAGGCACAGAGAATTTAATTGCAGAGCTCACCAGAACATTTCTGATAACATTTCATTTCATGGAAAGTACTGTAATGTTGAAGTAAAAAAATGTTGCAGAGATGTATCAGTTTCCATGGAAGTTTTAGCAGGAAGGCTTGTGTGTCTGGAGAGAGAACAAGCAAGAGAAACATCTATATCTGTACTGGCCTCAAAGAGAGGTTAGCCAGGTACAAATCCCTGATTTGGAACAATCTAGACTAAAAAGCTCTGCTGTCAAAGTCAGATTCGGGCTTTGTATCTAGGTCTCCCACACACGTTTTATTAACAAAGCTGAAAGGGTTTGTGCTCATTCCAGTGCAGACTGAAAACAAATGTTGAAAACTCATTATGGTGCTCTAGCCAGCTCTAGTTAACTGTCCTGTTCCAGGTGAGACAGGAGGCCTGTGGTAGAGACAGGAATCAAAGTCTCATGGCTTGCCCATTCTACAAATCAGCCTTCTGAGAAGTGATGGGCCCAGAACCTTAGGGCTGAGTTTAAAGTAAGTCCAGGTACAAAACACTGGACCTGATTCTACATGCCAGCTGTAGAACAGGAAGATGGCACCAGCATGGCAACAATACAGCATAACGCAAGATATGTGGGATAGCTTAATGGGGGAAGTTGCATCATGAGAGGCCTTGTGATGTCACACAGGGATGTCAACGCTATTTGGCGGGAGAGAGGAAGGAAACAATTCTCTCATGTTATATCTTTTAAAAGCATTTGTATTCACATGCCTCTAAACTAGGGATGTACAAGTTTAAAGTGGTATCTGATAAGCATGAGATCACTGGTTACCCAAACGGTTACACGCGGTTCCCAGTCTGGCTCCTGAGGAGCTGGCTGCCTCCCCGTGCTACTGCCTCAGAAGTGGGCAGCAGAGTGGAGCCAGTACTCACTGGGAGCCAGCTTAAAAGCCAGTTCCCAGTGTGCACTGGCTCCCGGTGCTGTGGGTGTGTATAACCATGTACTTGCTGAAATTTTCAGCAGTTACACAGTTAGCCGATTGCCCACATTTTAATATCCCGACTCTAAACTGGGTGAAGCACCTGATCTCACAGGAGCAGCTTGCAGGACCCGAGAGGGTTAGCTGTCAGGAACACCATTGTGGACTCTGCCCGTACAATCCTTGGCAGATATTCTTTGTGGCCCTGTAGCTGCTTTCATCAAGAGAAGCAGATTTATCTGCAGGGACTCTCAGAATGAGACTCCAGCCTGGAACAATGGTATGTGAGAGCAGGGACATTTTAATACCGGAGCAAGGTACAGTAAAAGAAGCCAGACATGAGCCTAAGGAAAGGAGAAGTTGGGTTTCCTATGTGAGTCTGCAAGGTTTTATTTGCCACAGTTTGCATCTGAGTTCAAGACAACTCAGCTGGAAAGAGGAAAATGCATCTGACTCATCAAACATGTATCAAAATGGGCTTTTTTGCCTACACTTCTGATGGCTCTTTAAGCTGCAGGGTCCCATGCTACCCTAGCACCGTTATTCTTTGCTTCTGTGAAACATGCAGAACGGGGAAGCTGTCACTCCTTTTTCTTCACAATTAGGGCTGCACTAATCAGATTTGCATAAGCAGCTTCTACTTTGATATTTCAATAACCAGCACTCCCCTGTTCAGACTTGGATTTTGTGCCAGCACAGGGGCATAAGGCAGAGCAGGAGCCTCACTCCTGAGCCCCATGTTCAGGCTACATTGGGACTGCATGCACAAGTGCAGGCGGGCATGGTGCCTGCTGATTCCCCCCACTATATGCAGTGGAGGCTACAGGAGAGTGTCACAATTTGTTGGTGGTTTAGGCCAGCAGTCAGTTATGGTGCTTCTTCCCCACTCAGAGCAATGGGGGAAAGACACCACACCTCAAGGGATGTATATAAGACACAGCAGCTCTCACGGCTACCCCAGGTTGGTGTAGTTCCTGAGGGCTACGCCAAAAGACACAGTAGATGGCAATAAACACAACAAAGCCGTAGTCCTACAGTTCCAGAAGAAGGACAGGAGTTAAGGAAGTTTCAGAACTTGGTAGCCAAACCTACGTATATGCAGGAAACACCAAAACTAACAATGAATCCCCATGCAATTATCCTGAGCATAAGTCTGTCAGTTGAGGCCCAGGCATATTAGCATTTCCTCAGGTTTACCTAGAACCCACGGCAGGATCATCCATTCAACGACGGTGGGGGGTGGTCCCTGCACATGGAGATCAGTCCTGACAATGTGCTGGGACGCCAGAAGTAGCATGAAGAGGAAGGTTAGGTAAGAGCCGGTGTGGCAGATAAACTTTATAAATGGCTTTTTAATGAACAGTCCCAGCCTGCTCTTAGGTGCAATTAAATATGCCACAGAAAGCACAGGAAATAGCAGTCCAATGGTGATGCAGGTCAAGAGCTTTACTGCCCAGTGTTTCCGCCTCCATCCTGGAAAGCCGTCGTACCAAAGTGTCGCTAACAGCTGCTGGCAGTTGGGCTGAGCAACAAACTGGAGAGGGAGAAAAAACGAAAACGTTAGAAGGACATAGAGCCAAAGGCTTCTACTGGCCAGAAGCCAGAACACACCCAGGATAATTTCCTTCTGTGGTTGTTCCCATGAGCTGAATGACCAATACGCCCACATGTTTTCCTCTCAGCTCCTGGTGAGTGAGCTGTAGCATGTTGTGGCAATCAGCCTTTTACTGGGGAGGGACCTGGGATGTTTTTGTTTATTTTTTACTCAAGATGGAAAACCTGTTGGGAAAGAATAAGAACCACCGTGTACCGTTACCACGCTAGGCCTGTAAGAGTACATCTACACAGCAGTGTTATTTTGGAATAACTGACAGTATTCCGAAATAACAAAGAGCGTGTCTACACAGCAAGCCATGATTTTGAAATAATGTCGAGCTGGAGGACTTCTTACTGTGACTCCTGTAACCCTCATTTCACAAGGAGTAAGGGAAGTGGAAGGAAGAGTGTTCTTCCTTTGACCTCCTGCTGTGTAGACAGCACCAAAAGCCGAGTTCAGCTATTTCAATTTCAGCTATGCAATTGATGTAGCTGAAGTTGTGTAGCTTAATTCGACTTTTGCCCTGCTGTGTATTCATGCCCTAAGAGAGTCAGGAATGGCAACCGTATATCCAGAATCCTAAGCTAGTGTCTTAACCATAAGGCCAGCCTTTCCTGGCAAGGCTTTCTGACAATCAGCATTCCACCCAGGGATGGGCACAAAGCCACACTGTTAATGTGCCAGGCCCAGAATCTTAATCTGCCATTTATGCAGCCTTGCAAATGGACTAAATTGGGCCTAACCTTACATGGGCATGCAGCTGTAAAGTGAAAGTAGCCGTCCCTAGTTCAGCTGATTCTAAAGAACCAGACACAGTCATACTCCCTGTGTTCAGGGATGTGCTACCAAGGGCACAAGCTACTCCAGAAACAGGGTGAGAGGGCAAATAATGGGTGGGGACACAGCCTTGCCCTCTGTCTGCTGTCATTTGACTTGGCCTGGGTGATAAGGTGTATGCTTTATCTGAGAGTTTAAAGGAGACTCTGTAGCTTCACACTTTCTCAGTAACATGCTACTGAGATGTGAGTAAGAATGGCAGGACAGGCACCTGGATATCAGTAAACTAAAATCTGAAGGAAACATTTCTAGATTCAGGGGACAGTCCTCTTGCTGATCCCAGCTGTGGAGAGATCTGTCGTGTATTCTGGACCAAATCTGTAAGCAGGCCATGAAGAGAAGGGGCTTTTCCATATTTATTTTAATACGGGCAGGATTTTTGTGCTTAGCTTTGCTCTGAGGCCATTTCTGTTTTCAGTATCCCTCAGTAGAACAATCACTGGTCACATGTGAACCCTCCTGCTACAGTTACACAATTAACAGTTACTCTGAGCATCTTCTACTCTCAAGTTGATGCTTCTCCAAATGCTTTTTTCAGCTTTTGGCAGACTCCAAAGAGCACTTGGCAGCATTTGAAAAAATGACTTGGAGACCAGGCAAAGAGGAAGAGCCAGAGGTGGTAAAACTCTGTGTGTATGTGTGTTTGCACATGTGCATATGAGAGGCCATTTCTACACTGCAGCACTATTTCGGGATATCCCGAAATAGCTGTCCCGCATCTTAACAGGGTTCCTGTTATTTTGAAATATATCGGGCACACTATTCTGATGTCCCTGTAAACTTTGTTCCAGAAGGAGTAAGGGACATTTTGGAATAGCGGGTTATTTAAAAATTTAGTACTGTGTAGACAGCGCCAAATTACATAATAAACTATTTTGAAATTGACTTGAAATAAGCTATGCAATTTGTGTAGTTCAAAATGTATAGCTGATTTTAAGCTAAGGGTGCAGTGTAGACACACACAGAGTGTGTGTGTGCATACACACATGCCTGAAAGTGAACATATGCATTACTGCAAGCAGGTAGGCACATACAAATGTCTGAGTTGAAAGGGGCTTGGCATATGAATGAATGTACCTATGAGAAGCTCTCGCACTTTTGGTGAGGTTGGTTGTTGGCAAGAAAAGGTGGGCAATTGTAAAATATCTGAGACAAGGCAGGAAAGAGACACTTTTGATCACAGAACAAAAATGACATTTTAATGTTCAGTTCTACTCAGTACATGACATGGAAGAAATAGGCTTACAGGATTCTACATTTATGGTACCTAAGTGACTCCACAGCTGGCATATTTAGATTACAAGTAAAAAGGTTTTTTTCTAACCACCCTTATTACAAACAGCCTTCAGCTACGTTCTTTCAGGCTTGTGTATCACCATCACTAATAAATAATCAGCAACCAGATGCTGCCCTCAATTACACCTGGGAAAGGCTATTGCATTCAGAATATTTCTGTTCAGAAACTTTTCAGTACAGACTGTATATTAAAGGATCTATCCCCATGCCCAATCTGAATCTTGGCAGGATGGAGGCATAAGTCCTGGCTTTTTGCCATGTGATTTTTTTCACCATCCTTGATGGAGTTGTCCTTCAATTCATAGTTAATTTAAAATATTCCTGTGGAATTCCTTTGGGACTTTTCGCTCACACTCTACCAGTTCTGCATTCAAGGTAACATGGAAAACCCCTGACTTTTGTTCCAACCATGTCATTTCACTATGGTCTTGTCTATACCAGGAGGGATTTATTGTTGCAGTTATACTGACATTGTTAAAAGAATGTCAAAATAGATTGGTATACAAGTGCTAAACCATTATTACTGCATCTGTATTCGGGCTTTTAATTTTTAGTAATAAAAACAAAATCACACCTCTGACCAACATAAATTAAAGTGTAGACGAGGCCTCTGAGCCTTATTAGAAAATAGACTTATGGCAGAGAGTAATCTAAAGATGACAATATTATTTATTATTCCTAAAGTGTCTCTGTAGAAATGAAATGTGTTGCTGTATAGTGTTATCAATCCCCAAGTCACATTTACATTTACAAGACTGTTATGTGCTCTTTGACCATTTTTAAAAAAACTTATCTTCTACCCAGATATGTTTGTGGGCCTTTATGTTGCCCTTCAGATGATTTCAGATTTGACATGGCAAAGTCACTTCCATAATAAAGGTTCCTGCACATGCACAGGCCTTTTAACTATCCATTCACCAATAAAACTGCATAATAAGCACTTACAGAGCACTTTTCATCCATGGATGGCAAAGCTCTTTATAAAGGTCAAGCATTATCATTCCCATTTCACAGAGAAATAAACTAAGACTCACAAAAAGAAGAATGATTTACCCAACATGACACACGTCATGTCAGTTTCAGAGCTAGCACTAAAACTAGATCCCCTGCCTGCAAAGAGTGTGGGCAGGACCTCCTGACTATTTTAACTATAACCTGAAGGATTGCTGGCATCCAAAAACTGATATTCTCATTAATGCCCTGATGAAGGGGCTGGTGAGAAATCCTTTCTCAGGGGCGCTCTCAGCTCCCTAAAGACATCACCTGGGAAGTGTCAAATGTTGATTTGCTGCTCAAAGAAGAGAAATTAAATAGGGAAATAGACCAATTTATAAATTAAAATATCTTTCTCTTCTTTATAACTGTAGTTCAATGTGAAAACCTAATTAAGAGAAGTAATCAACCAATGATTAATCACAGCAGGCAAACTAACAGGTGACAAAAGTCAGGCAGAATCCTTTAGGAGGGACTTAATGCTATTATTTTTTGTATCTATTGACTTGGATTTTGTTCACCAACAATAGGCTCTGTAAGAGATTCCCCATACAAGACATAGCTAGATTTACAGGGGCAAGCAGTTCAAAAGGATGGATTGACATGTCTGAGTGCTAAGAATAAAAGGCCCAGAAAGAGCAGCAGGTGTCTGTGATGTGGGACATTTATTTGAACAAGACAGGTTGACACAGGAGGATTACGGGAAAGGAAAATCAGAGGAAGCATGTTTGCTTCAATTTAACCTATAACACCCCCTGAGTCATTGGACAACAGTTGGTATGCAGATGATCTACAGAAAACTGCAGGATGCTAGAAGATGCTATTATAATATACCAGCTTTGGGATCAGAGAGAAGAAAATAAGAGTCCTACAGAAAAAGAAGAGAAATCATGAATTTTCTTTCCCTTTTTAATCTGTAATTTCAGAGTAGTCTCAATCACTAGTTGTGCTTAAATTGGACAAAAGAAATGGAAGGTTATCTTGCCACATTTTTAACATTTAAGAGCTTAGATAAGGGCTCTGAGCAGACGTAACATCCATAGTGAGGAGTATTATGTTTCCTAAAAAAGATCAGCAGCGGCTTTTTTTTTATGTAGTAGGGGAAATATCTTATAAATATTTCTTCTCTTTATTCCATACAATAGAAAGCAGAAAGGGAAGAATGAGTTTATTTCCCCACTCTTCACCACAAGTCAAACCCAAGTCACTAGACAAATCAAAATATTTTTGCTTCTTTTATTGCTTGTGCAACTTAAGCTTTCTCTCCCTTTCCCCTATGCTTAAAGGCTTATTTTAAAAATCTGCTCAGTTTTCTGTGTATCTGAGTTCAGTTCTTCAAAGAGAAGAGAATTCATATATCATTCAAGGGATCCTTTCAAGATCGTTTTAGCAAAAAAGGAGTGGCAATAAAAATGCCCTTAATCAAGCCCACCCCTGCCTTACTAGAAATGCTCCAAAGGAAATTTAACTGTGGCAGAAATCAATGAAAGCCCTCTGATTCTCACACAAAGGTTGCATGCCTGCTGAGATATCCTTTTACTGGCCCAAATGAAAAAAATGTAATCCACTATTCATCACTCATTTTAAAATATTATTCCAATGCCTTTAAATCTCAAGCAAGGTGAAGACCACAGGGGAAGAGGCAGCAGCCATCTTTTTTTCTCATGACCAACCGATCAAGGATTGGGGGAGCAACAGAGACTGAACCTGACAGAATAAAGTTCTGTTACAGCAGATTCTCCATAGTTATCAGGGCTGGCTAGCTGGGGGTTCATTCCTATAAAGATGCTAATGATGCCAGACACTAAAAT